GGTAGGACAAATAGGATTTAGGTTGTATCTACTAGAAATATTGAATACAAGTCTAAAGAAGGTTATAATTTCATTGTATAGGTCACTGGTTAGGCCACATGTGGAGTATTGTGTTCAGTCTTGGGTTCCTTAACTTAGAAAAGACATGGAATTGTTGGAAAGGCTTCAGAGTAGGGCTATTAGAATGGTGCCTGGAATGGAGGGGTTGTCATACGAGGAGAGGTTAAGATCTCTAAAATTGTTTTCTCTTGAAAAAAGAATAGTTAAAGGGAATCTGATTGAAGTATTTAAGATTGTTAAGGGAACTGATAGTGTTGGTGTATCTTTTTTTTTCATACTTAATGAGAATAGTAGGAATAGATGACTCAAATATAAATTTTGGCAAGGTAGGAGTCATTTTCAGCTAAGACAGTTTTATTTTTTTAACAGGGTGGTTGGCATTTGGAATGGGTTGCCTTCAGATGTTGTGGAGGCAGTAAATTTCAGTGAGATTAAGAGAAAGCTTGATAACTATATGAATGATAATGGCTGCCTTTAAGATTTGTTTAAATATATTTATTTAATAGTTTTTAGTTTAGTTTAGAGGATGGGACAGCCGAGATGGAACAATAGGTCCCTTGTTGTCCCAAAACATTGTGTTCTGTTAAAAACTCCAGATTCTACGAAAGTACTTGTTTTTTAATGAAATATATCTGTGAAACGTACAACAAATATACCCTTTTAATAATGCTGTTACATTGCTCGTAAAAATGAAAGCGCTTTACAACTAAATAATGTGTATGAAATACGTTAGGCTTAGTTAATTTCATGTAAGACTAAATATTAGTCATTGGCCAGCTGTTGAACTTTATACGACTAACCTTTTCGGTTTTCATTGTTTTATCTAGTCTTGTTCGTGCAAGCCCGAGCAATATCGAACCACATAAGACACGGCTTTGTTTCATCTCAGGAAGCTGGTAATGGTAATAAAAAGTTAATCCTCGTCAAATTTTAACGGACTAAAACAAAACACCGCTACAACCAGGTTTGAACAAAAAAAAACAGTTTATTAAACTATAATAACAACAGAAATCCAAAATATAACTTTCAAACAATTGAAACACAAGTTTTATCACTTACAAAGAAAATAGTTAGTAAATACGTGCCTGGCGAGTACTTGATACAAACTTCAATAAACTATACAAAATAAATATCAATGTTATTAATTTCAACAAATAAATGAATTAAAAAAAAAAACAGAAACAAAAACCTAATTAGGAAAATACACAATATTAAACCACTTCTTACGAAGAACAATCGAGCAACAATCAGAAATAACTCGTTCTAACTGTATCTCGTGAACTAACTCGTTTAAGTTTGTTTGTTTGTTTTTGAATTTTTGCTATACGAGGGCTATCTGCGCTAGCCGTCTCTAATTTAGCAGTGTAAGACGAAGGCAGCTAGCTAGTCATCACCACCCACCGCCAACTCCTGGGCTACTCATTTACCAACGAATACTGGGATTGACCGTCATATTATAACGCCCCCACGGCTGAAGGGCGAGCATGTTTGGTGTGACGGGGATTCGAACCCACGACCCGCAGATTCCGAGTCGAGCTCCCTAACCACCTAGCCATGCCGGGCCAACTCGTTTAAGATCACTTAATGGTTATATTTATTGGTTAGACCACGATATTACATCTCATGTGACTAGCTAATTTACATAATCTTTAAAGCATTAATAAATGTACGTCACCGCTAAGGGAAGCTTGTGTCAGTTTCATAATACAAATATACTCAAATTCAACGTTCTGTAGCTAGAATGTGAGTTAGCGTTTTAACATAACTAAAAATTTATGGATGAACTAAACGATAGAAGAAAAAATAAATGAACGGTAAACAAAAACCATAACAAACTAAAAGAAGTAGAATTCGCTATCTCACAAACTTAATTGTTACTCTGCGTGTGATACCCTTTAACTTTTCTTCAAACAGACTTTTATAAACTTTGCAACTGTATCGAGATTTTTGCACAAACAAAAATAAATATGAAATAAAAGATTAACACTTGTATATATTTTCTTCCTTACTCTAGCCGAGCGATGTCTCCCAGTGGCACAGCGGCAAGTTTGTGGACTGGACTTGTAACGCTAAAAACCGTGTTTCTATACCCGTAGTTGACACAGCACAGATTGGACGTTGTGTAGCTTTGTGCTTAACTACAAACAAACAAACCTAGTGGTCAGAATTAGAACTATATTCAAACAAACTTTTATGACTTTAGCCAGTTGTACGTATGGACACTTTTTTCTATCGTGACACTTTCATGTGGCCGAAAAATCACTGAAAACAATAGGTTTGTTTTCTGTGGAGGAGATAACTTTTGTACCAAATTTTAAAGGATATCGCTAACTGACATTAGAGTTATCACTGTACAAGATTTGCAAAACAGTATACATTAAACAAATTGGATTACTACAGAGGCTACTTTTTTCTCAAGTGTCATATGCTCAGAAACCGTGAATACCAAAGAAAGACCAGAAATATGTCTACGTGTTGAAGTAAGGCTGATTTGTGATACTTAATTTAGGTTTAGCTCAGATTACTCTTGTTTTAAAGCACATGCCAAAAAACAACAACATCCAGCTCCAGCTACACTACACCTAGATGTTTGTTTTAAAGTCCTATACTCTTAAACTTTAAATCTTCGTCTTTTTTAGTGAGAACGCATCCCCACAAAACAAAAATCCTAAAGGAAATGTGAAACAAAATTTTACAATTGGGATTTTAATTGTAATGGAAACCCGATAATAAAATATAATTATGAAGAGCATATCCATTCTTAGCGCCTAAAAATCTGTTTTTACCTCAGAGGTCGAACAATACAGACTTTTTTAAATATTAAATTTGGACACGAAGACATCGAATGTTAAGGGGAAACCCTAAAAATTATATTAAAGTAAAACTTCAAGTCATCAGACGAATCGAAGAAACATCTACCAGTCGTCTGACTGAGGGAAATACAAACTCGGTTGGTGGTCCCCTTGGTTAGTACAGATATGATAACCCACTTAGAGAAGCTTGAAAAGTAGGTTTACTGAAAGTTTGATTTGTTTGAAATAAGCAAGATTGGTCGTTATTTTGTTTTTACATAAGTATCTCTGGTACTTTAGTTGTTTTAAATACAGGTTCGGTTCATGTTAGAGATGTCGTCCTTGAATGCATGCCGACACCAAGTGGCTTGGCGGTCAGCTTTGATAGCTTATAGCGTTAAAAATCGGGGTTAGGTACTCGCGATATGTACAGCGCAGATAACCCATCGTGTGCCTGTGCTCCTAAAAACTAACAGTGGCTTGGCAGCAACATATTACGCTAAAAATCTGGTTTCGATACCCGAACTGGGCACAACGCAGCTAGCCCATTGTATACCTGTGCGCTTTAAAAAAATCTAATAAATAAAGATCAACTGATGTATGTCATGATTATACCTGTGGTGCGGTTCCGAGTTGATGACATCAATAAGTTTTACAAATACATATATGTCACCCAAGGTTGTATAGATAAGAAAAGGATAAAATATCTGTGTGGAACGTTATGCTAATCAACATCAGTTTAGCGGATGTGTTGTGAAATCGGCATGCACCGAAATGTCAACATGTAAACACTTTTTTTAGAAGTTGTCTAGACGATGATAACACCAAAAGGTAGATTACAAAACGGAAAAGAATTGGAGAAGAACGAGAAAAGAAATACGGTATAGGAAAGTTCTCTGATAATGTATATTATTTCTTTTAAGCATGTTGAACTTGGCAACCAACGTCCGTAAAAAAAGCAACACGAGAAGAATAGGTTGGAAGCCTTTACACTCCACAAAGCTAGGTCTAGGATTCTTACTACAGTCATATAAATAAACAGCCGGAATACTTTGCTCTTTTACGCGTTTAACATAACTGAATTATTACGTTAACGATAATAATTATTCGTGAAAAGTGTGTAAATTAGAAAACTATTTTCTTTTTTTAACTATGACTTTTAGATTCGTAACATTATCTTTTCTAAAACCTTTTTATCCTTAGTTAAATTCTTCACCGTATTTTTTCTAAGCATACTGTAATTTTATATTAATATCAATCTACAATAAATGCATTGTCCAACTTATTTGTAGTAGATATTTTTAGTCGCGGCATAGTGGCTCAGAGAACGGTTCTGAGTTTGTTTGTTTGTTTTTTTAAGTCGGTAGACTTACCAATGTCGTACCGGCGAGCCTTTCTAGATAAATTAATCAATATAATATTGTTTATCTTGACATCTACCAACTAAATTTCACTAGAAAATATACTCATAATACATTTCGAAGTATGACACTCAGCTGGAAGACAGTAAGTGCCAGAGAGATAGAAGCAACATATTCCAATACAATGAATGTTTTAAAGTGATAAAAACAATGAGTCCTTTTGTCGGTTTCTTTGATGCTTTAACTTCTCAAAAACTCTCCATGGTGCTATGAAGCGATTTTTTTAAGCTTTCCAGATAACCTTACACATAAATACAATAATGTACACGTGCTGTACGATTGAACCATGTCAAGGGTATATGTGTTTTTTTTTATAGCTCTGTTATAGGACAAAGGAAATTCAAGTTTAACATATATATACCCGAGAACTTATATCGCAGTGATTATTTTTACAAGAACAAGATGTATTCAGACAACTTTTACTGATAAAATCAGAGACAATACTTTAGATATATTTAAAATGTTTTAATTCGTTTATTTTCTGGAGAGGACATATCTTGGTTATTACGTATTACATGCTCATTACTGTACGTTATCAAATTTTCTAGGAATACACTGACTGGCCACCAGAGGGTGGATCTGGACAATTGAATGAAGGGAACAGAAGTGAAGTCTTAAACTCTTATCAGCAATTCTATCACACGTTCTACGGAACACCGGAAGCAGTGAACGATTTGCAAAGGACATCTGGACCAATAGGACGTGAGAAACTTTTCATTACCCAAAATATTCAACAAAGTAAGTGTTGAATTAGTCTTTTACAGAACTCTTTCTTCACATATTTTTACGTGCAGTTTGTTTACATGTATCATAATTAACGTAAAGAAAAATCGGATTTTTTTTAAGTCGTTCACTTAAAAATGTTTTTTAATTTACTTTTCGTGGAACTACGTCGTAATTTTCACAAATATATCGCTGGAAAGAGTTTTCATCAAATTATTTTTTATGACAAAAGATGCATTGTTCTGCTTACTCTCTGGAGCAGAGCCTATATTGTCCCATTTCCATCGTCTAAAAATGACCGTATCCTGTCTAATCTTATAAGAAAAATACACATGGAAACCGCTTTCCAGTTAGGCTATATCTGTCTCTCTTTTATCAGTTTAAAATCTGGTTATTAAAGACCCTCTCTTCATAGTACTGTCCATATTTAGTCATGTAAATATCTTAACTAGCTAATAGACTAGCTCGATTTTTAGCTTATAATGCTGTGTCTGTTGTTGTGCCTACTATACAATTCATTCATAATTTAGGACGATTATTTTCACTTCTAATACTTAGCCTTATAATTATTATCATTACATCCCCATCCCCTAAATGAATTTTTATGTACAAGTATTTTTATTACTCCTATTAAACAGTTAACATCACATTTACACGTAACCTTGATGTAAATACGTGTGCACGATTCCACAAGCTATTAAAGACCTTTTTACCATGACTATCAGTAACAACTAAGTTGTTTTTGTTATACGTTCCGCACGTTATGCATACACAATAAATTATCTGTAGACTTGTAGTTTTACGCAGCCTTTTCATATGACCCAGTGCGAATGACTTGAGGTTATTTTTTTTTTAATGAAAACGATATCTACTGAGAATTATAAGGCCTTAGTAATATGTGAGGGCCAGATGTGAAACATATTGTATCCTTTACGTATAGAGCTCTTGGCACCCTTTACTTAAATTGTCGTTGTATGCGATGTCACAAGTTTCTAGTCAGAATGTTTCACCACTGAGATCTAATGTTTCTTATATTGATGTCTGACACGAAAGGAGAAAAAGTCTGTTCGTGCTATAAAGAAGTAATAACGTTTTCCTGAAATACCACAAATACGCGTTGGTTCAATGGTGGTAATTGTGCAGCACATGTTGGTGCTGATAACAGTCTGTCTTCCCATTCCTGTCTCATTTGCTTGCGTTATGAGCCTGACATGGTCTGGTGGTTAGAGAACTCGAGTCTAATCCGCGGTCGCAAGTTCTAATTCCGTCACCAAACATGCTCGCCCTTTCAGCTGTAAGGGCGTTATTATGTGACGATCAATCCCACTATTCGTTGGTAGAGAGTAGCCCAAGAGTTGGCAGTGGGTGGTGCTGACTTGCCCCTCTAGTCTATTACTTATAGTCTATCAGGAACGGCTAGCGCACTTAGCCCTCGGGCAACTTTGCGTGAAATGCAATAAACAAACAAACAACTTCTGGCGTTATTAATGTTTCATTAACATCACGGACAGACTATCGAGCACACTTTTAAGACAATTTCAACATCAACCAAAATATTAAAGCATTTTTAACATTCATTATCATTATCATTGAGAACAATGTTATAGAGAGTTTCCTACTAATAGTGACTGAGTCATTAGAGTGATTACATTGCAGGGCAGTAATAGAATTAAACCAAAATGCGCTAAAGTAAGACTGTACTTTAACAACAGAAGTAGAAGTCCAAACGTATAAGAATACATTATTCATTCTTTCCTTCCTATTACAAAAACTCTTTAAAGAAACCACTTCTGTAAGACATAGTGTGCTAAGAAAGAGTTAGTATATGCAGTTGGTATTAAAATACGTTTAAAATATGAATTTATACACTACGGATTTATTACGTAAAACGGGTTCTCGTAGATGAGTGAGTGACTAATAAAACATTTACGTCAGAGTCCTCAAAAAACATGGTGCTTTTGACTGGAGCTGATAATGTAGTTTTAAACAGTTTAAGCTCCAAATTTTAAGTTTGTGTAAATTAAAGTTTTGGGCTCAGTTAAGCATTGCTATAATAAAAGGGTTATTTTACGAAAGAGTTTATTTGTTTGTTATGGATTTCGCGCAAAGCTACACGAGGGCTATCTGTGCTAGCCGTCCCTGATAAAAGGGTTATTTTACGAAAGAGTTTATTTGTTTGTTATGGATTTCGCGCAAAGCTACACGAGGGCTATCTGTGCTAGCCGTCCCTGATAAAAGGGTTATTTTACGAAAGAGTTTATTTGTTTGTTATGGATTTCGCGCAAAGCTACACGAGGACTATGTGCGCTAGCTGTCCCTGATTTAGCACTGTAAGACAGTGTAAGGCAGCTAGTCATCACCACCCACCGCCAACTCTATGGCTACTCTTTTACCAACGAATAGTTGGGTTGACCGTAACATTATAACGCCCATACGGCTGAAAGGGCGAGCATGTTTGGTGGGACGGTGATTCGAACCCGCGACCCTCACATTGTGAGTCGAGTGCCCTAACCACCTGGCCATGCCAGGGCCCATACACAGTGATCTGTACGTTTAACCAAATCCCTAGTTTACAATAACTTCTCATTATAAAACGTAGTTTTACAGTTTGTAATAACATATTAGTACAGCCATATTACTCTTTTCTAGCAAAGCAATTTAATAAACCTACGTAGTATTAATATCTTGGTAATTAAATATTAGGCTTACATTAGCATGATAGTGATGATCCACTTCCACCGATATGTGGCGTATTTTGTACGGCTTCCTGTCAACAAATAACATGTTGTTGTTGTTGTTTTTTTTCCTTTTAAATCCAATCAGTCGTCAAGATCACTGAACTACGTTTTTGCTAGTTTGTTGATTCGGAATTTTCGTGCAAAGCTACACAAGGGCTATCTGCGCATAGCCGTCCTTAATTTTAAGCTAATAGACTAGATGGAAGACAATTAATCAATAGCGCTCACCGCGAAATCCCGTGTTATTCTTGCCTGACGAATAGCGCACCCACAGCTCCAAAGATAAACTACGTTAGTGACGGTTTTATTCGTAACTTTTGTTTCTCACAATGCTGCTGTCTCATCGAAAGACATACGTTGGAACAATTAACTGCTAAAAACGCCTCTGGAAACGACATTTCTTTATTATACAATTAATTAAATGATCTAGGGAAGTGTATAGTTTATCATGTTTCATATAGTAAAGTAATACTGATCTAGGGAAGTGTATAGTTTATCATGTTCATATAGTAAATTAACTACTGATCTAGGGAAGTGTATAGTTTATCATGTTTCATATAGTAAAGTAACTACTGATCTAGGGAAGTGTATAGTTTATCATATTTCATATAGTAAAGTAATTACTGATCTAGGGATGTGTATAGTTTATCATGTTTTATTTACTAAAGTAATTACTCATCTAGGGAACTGTATAGTTTATCATGTTTTATTTACCAAAGTAATTACTCATCTAGGGAAGTGTATAGTTTATCATGTTTTATTTACTAAAGTAATTACTGATCTAGGGAAGTGTATAGTTTATCATGTTTCATATAGTAAAGTAATTACTCATCTAGGGATGTGTATAGTTTATAATGTTTCATATACTAAAGTAATTACTGATCTATGGAAGTGTATAGTTTATCATGTTTTATTTACTAAAGTAATTAGTCATCTAGGGATGTGTATAGTTTATCATGTTTCATATACTAAAGTAATTACTGATCTATGGAAGTGTATAGTTTATCATGTTTCATAAAGTAAAGTAATTACTCATCTAGGGAAGTGTACAGTTTATCATGTTTCATATACTAAAGTAATTACTGACCTAGGGAAGTGTATAGTTTATCATGTTTCATATACTAAAGTAATTACTGACCTAGGGAAGTGTATAGTTTGTCATGTTTCATATACTAAAGTAATTACTGACCTAGGGAAGTGTATAGTTTGTCATGTTTCATTTACTAAAGTAATTACTGATCTGGGGAAAGGAACATCGTAGTTTTGTTGGATTATTTTCTACATTTGTAAAAGCTTTGAAAAGTAAGTTATGGGTCACGTTCAAGGGCACTGGAGAGAATAAAAACACGACTACAGTTCATGTAACAGATTTCTTCGAATAGCTGTTGTGTCTGCTTTCAATTAATTAAAGCCATAATCGGGTTCACTCCAGATGGCCTATCTACACAGTAACGTAATCCTCCAACAACTCTATACGATGAATTCTAGTTTGGTTTTAATTGCTTCGCGAAAGTTGAATCCCCTTTTCTGTCACGTGATGTATCAAAGTAACATGTGGAGATCATGTTTCAATGCCAAAGAACTGGTTACCTCGTAAATATAGCTAAACACTTTATTTTCATCTTTTTTTATGCTAAGCCCAGTACCTCCTACCTTGCTAAAATTAATAAGAACATATTGTACATATATAAAATATTACTACTAATAATTCCTTATTCTGTATAAAAACTCAAACGCCCACAGTACAATAATTTCAACATACATCATAAGCATGGGGATAACTATCACAATAATCGTGATACATATTGCATTTTTTCATATATGAATTTATGTCATTATATCATACTTAATAATTATTTTCTTAACAGCCCCCCCCCCCCGGTGAGTTAGCGGTAACTTTACGTACTTTCAACCTAAGATCCGGAACTAGATTCCCTGCTGTGGACAAAGTGCAGATAGCCCATTGTGTAGCTTTTCATTAAGAAAACAACAACAACAACAACTTTATTTAGTCATGCAGTACTAACATATAATACTTTTTCATTTTTAATCTCTGTTCAATGATCGTACCCAAATTTAAATAGGATTACTTGCAAAATTATACGTTAAATGTTTTTTTTCTAATTCGATTATATGGTAGAATACTGAGAAGGCAATCCCTAAAATATCTACGTTTACTACACCCTGTCCCCTGGTAGGACAGCGGTAAGTCTACAGATTTACAACGCTAAAATCAGAGATTAGATACCCTTCGGTGAACAAATCAGATAGCTCGAC